CGAAGGGAAGTCATTTTCCTTAGTTTTGAAGAAAATGAGTTGATTTGGAAAACATTTTCTAAAACTTTTGCCCCAACCAAACATGAGAAAGTTGAAAAACATTTTCTAGAAAATATTTTCCGTCGTACCAAACACACTCTAAATCTTCTTCATTTTCTTGAAAGTCAGGCCAATGTGTCTCCAAATTTAGTTTTTTTTAGTTCTATATATAAGTGTGGTGAAGTTTAGTTTTTCAATTTAAAATTTAGGTCTTTTTCTTTAAGGATTTTTATAAAAAATTTAGCGATATATATATAGAGAATGTAATTGATTATAAATGTTCATATTTATTATTATTGTTAAATAAAATATAGCGTCAATTATACTGCTTTATTTGTTGTAATTGTACATAAGCACATATATACATGAAGATACGTACATATGTCCAAATTAGCAACAACGCACAACATATTTATTACTATAATTTCACAAATGAAGTCTGGAGAAGATAAAATACACACAAAATTTATATATCTTTATTTTTGTAAGATAAAGAAGAACTTTTCAGACTCACGTCACAAAAAAGAAGTATACGTCCAAATTAGCCACGCCATGACATTAAACAAGAGATTGAGAGGTAGGTGGTGGGGGTGAATACTACTTGTGTGGTCTATCTATTTATTGACATTCATGTTTAAGGTTCATTTGCACTTTAATTTCTCCATTTTTCATTTGGAAATATCCCAAAAAAACTGTAGTAAAAAGTTCATATTTCATATATATACTAGAAAATAGAAATGGTAAGAACACCTTGTTGTGAGAAAGTAGGTCTCAAGAGAGGGAGATGGACAATAGAAGAAGATGAAAGACTCACAAACTATATTCAAGCTAATGGTGAAGGCTCTTGGAGGACATTACCTAAAAATGCTGGTAAAAATGCATTGTTATATACATATAGTTAACGCATAATCATCTCATTCAAAAGTTTAAAAATTATTACCGAATAAGAGAGTACATTTTTATTTACTATCTATTTCCTCTGTCTAACAATAGTTGTCCACTATTGATTTGATACACCTCTTAAGAAATTATAAATAGAAGGATAATTTTACTATATCACCCTTTGAACATAATAAATATAGATAAGTATTATTGGACGGAAAAAATAATACTTTTTTTTATATGAAAAGTTATTTGGTAATTGAAATTGATATAATTAATAGAATTACACTAGCATGTTTGTTTGTCCCAATTAAAAAATGAAATTAAAACATTCAATATAGAGAGAGAACTTTGAAAATATATTAATTAATAAATTTATTTTCTTAACTAATATTACCAAAATGGTTCATATTTTTCAATTTAGTATATCTTAATTATATTAATCATAAAAATTAAAAATATAAAATTTCTTTGAACATCATGAAATACATGTTTTAGAAAAAAAAAATATTATAAATATAATATCACAAAATTATAAACAATTGACAAAAAAAATAATCTATCAAATCTAAATCTAAAAAAATAAATTCAATTATCAGGATGACTTTCCAAACGTGCCCTTGTTAAATTCTAATTGTTGGGTTCTCAGCGAGTAGAACTAACATTTAAACTTTATGAATTCTAAATTTTATAATATGAGATTGTCAGTACGTTAAAGTTTGAATTTAGTTTTTAAATATTCTTAGTAAATTTCTTAATCCAGATATAAGGTTTGAGTCTTAGTCCGACTAAAATCGTACGTTCTTTCTAGGTCTGAATTATTGAAAATTAATATACATTTTTATTTACTAAATTATGAATCGTGTGTTCATCCACTTGAGATAAAAGAGAAAATAAATAATTAATGTTTTTTTAATTGTGTAATAGGGTTATTAAGATGCGGAAAGAGTTGCAGATTAAGATGGATTAATTATTTAAAGAGTGATTTGAAGAGAGGTAACATAACTTCTGAGGAAGAAGCTATAATCATCAAGTTACGTGCAACTTTGGGTAACAGGTATAGATATTTATTTATAAATATCATAAAATCTTTAAATTGTTGGAATATATATTATGAATAAATATTTTTAAAATAATTTTTTTTATTTACCTATCAACTTATCACAAGTAAGACAAAATCACTTATTTTATTTCAGAAAAACATATTTATTTTCTTTTTGGCCATACATACCCTTTTTAAACGCTAAAAGCGTAAAAACTTTTTACATTATTTTTGTAATTTTTATAGTAAATATTTTCATTTATCATGAATTGTTCTTAGTAATTATGTGTAACTCATTCAAGAGTGATAAAAGTGTTTTATATTGTGAGCGTATAAAGTTAAATTTGGTATTTTATAAATTTTTTTTTTATATATATATAATGGGAAAAAAAGATAAATATACTTCGAATTATCGTAAATGGTATGCAGATACCCTTTGTCATACCCCGTCGTTCAAAAATTAGAGCATATATATATCCTTTATACTAATGGATTTACACGTGTCGTAATCTTATCCACCGACCCAAATCGGATCGATGGATAAGATTGTGTTATGTGTCCCTATATGACACTGGACTGCAAGAGCACCAATGTCTCAAAAGTACGACAGAGAATATCTGCATACCATATTCGATAGTTCGAAGGTATATTTGTCATTTTTTCCCTTTTTTATTGTATTGTAGTGATAAAAAATTAATAAGAAATGTTTAATTTGCAGATGGTCTCTAATAGCAGAATATTTACCACATAGAACAGATAACGAGATAAAAAATTATTGGAATTCTCGTTTGTGCCGAAAAGTAGAAAGCTTGAGGATTCCAAGTGACGAAGAGTTGCCACAAGCTGTCGTCGAATTAGCCAAAAAAGGAAAACAACAACAAATTATCAAACAAAGACACAAAGGGAAAACAAAAATTAGCGGTTCAAATTTCGTAAGTGAAACTATAGTTCACACTACATCATCAACGCCAAATATAGAGAAAGAAACCGTAAATACTATTCCGAATGGCGATAATAATGCCACGGAGTTCGATCATAACGATGATCAAATGTTATGGCATGACGATATTATGCTAATGGACGATGAAGATGCTAAGTTGGACCAAGATTTCATTTTCAAATGTTTATGGAGCGACCAAGGAGAAAGTTTTGAAATAATCGAAAATAACAATAACAATAACAATAATAATGAAATATTAAATGTGGATAATCATGGTACCCTTGATGGTTGGGATTGGGAATATTTAGATGAAATGTTGAATAATGAAATAGAGAATAACAATGTGTCAAATATTGATCCCATGAATAGTGATTTGGTAGCTTGGCTTTTGTCTTAATATATATATATACTCATTAATTTTCACTCCAATTATGTATATATATGGATAAAAATAAAAATTGTCTTTATTTTTTAAATAAAGGTCGTTACTTGTGCTTGTGCCGGCGTGTTTTCAATTTTTTTTTAAAAAAGGTAAAAGAAAATAATGTGCTTGCACACATTTTAATTATTTTACTAGATATATTAACTTACATAAAGCATAACTATAATATTGTTATCTTTTCATTCGTCGTGAGCCACTTATTATTTCTTTAAATATAATATTAATCATTTTTTGTGTGTATAAACTAAAGATATATAACATGTGTGTTATTTAAGATGTCAGCTAATCTACGTAAATTAGGAACATGTAATTGAATCGAATAAAAAATATTATTGATTTTATTGGATTATTGAGTTAATAGATTTTTAATATTATTGATTTGATATTAATTTTTAATATTGAGCTATTGGGTAAATTGATAAATTATTAAGACTAATAATATACTACTTTTATTTGTACATAAATATTATATATATTGGGTATAACAAGAGTTAATGGAAAAGAAGATGAAAAGTGAAATTGAAAAAAATTCTCCTATACTCTTAAGAAAAGTCATTTCACCATTATTAGCGGTGAAAAAAAAATTAAAGTGTATAAATAGAGAAAAACCTACTAATTGTTAAAAGGATGCCCTCACATTGTCGTTTGTTCTTTACTATGTGATTTAATCTTTAGAAATTTATATTGTCACAAAGTTTATTTTGATTAGTGTCAAAATCTAAAACAGAGAAACATATTCGACTTAATTTCTCTTTGTAACACAAAATCTAAATATAAATCATATTTTCACTTAATTTTCTTTTCATGTTTGTTATTATTATTTTTATTTTATGAGCATTTGTAATTTGTAAAGTTATATTATTGTGCTGTTACGTAAAATTTATTAGATAAGTTATATATTGTTTGTTATTATTATTTCTATTTTAAAGTAACATTATTGTGTTATCGTGTCAAATTTATTAGTGAAGTTATATATTTATTTTATAAATATTTTTTTATTGGTTAAACAAAAAAATCGAACCAATCAAAACCAATAAATCAAAAATTGATAAAAAAATATCTTATTAGTTTAATTTATTTAAAAAGTAAAAACTAATAAATCAAACCGATAATATATAACAAAAGAGATTTGGACCATTTATTTATTATTAATGGGACACGTATATTAAATTGAAGGAGTACAATTTGTTTTAAAAAGTCTTACCTCTGTTTATTTCTTATATATTGGTATAGTTCAAAATTGTATATACATGCAGAAAAAAATGTTAGCTCCACTCAGATAAAAATATAAGTTTTATTTCTTCAAATAATATTGCAGAAATTGAAATTTTGTGAGATTCTATAAAATGTGTTTAATTCGAGTTGAAATTCTACAAATTGTGTTCAATTCAGATAAAGATTCTTGGAGGCTACTCAACCTAAACCCTAGTTTATACCTATATAAAGGGTACTAAGTTCTCTTAAAGGCATCTCAAAAATCCCATAAAGAGATCAAGATCTCGAATAATTCGCAAATTGATGGATTATTCATATAGAAAGGTTAAATTTAAATCATCCTAGTTCGAGAAATATGCCACTAACGGCTCTCGAATCATGGATAAATCTAAGGAGAGTAGAATCAAGTGATCAATAGAATTGTACCCGCAATCTATCTTGATGAATAAAATCATGTTTCTTTATATCTTATTTGTATGGTTTATTTATTTTTCATATGTTTATAATTTGTTGCAAACAAACATTTAAGGTAAAGCTGGGTGATCCAAAAATTTCATTGATACTCCTTTCGTCTATTTTTATTTGTCATGTTATGCTTTTCGAAAGTCAATTTGACTAATTTTCAAAGTTAAATTAGATTTCATTAATTTCATATTTTAAGCAAAAAAATTAGATATTCAAAAACTATACGAAAAGTATCATATATTGCAATTTTTTGCATATTAATATTATGAAAAATTATATCGTGAAATGTTAGTCAAATTAAAAATGAAAAGTATGACAATTAATAGTGGATGGAGGGAATAGTATTACCTTTTAATAGTATATGTCATAAAGTTTTGGTTATATTTACTATTTATTATATTATATTTATTACTACTATATAGAAGAGTCATAAGAAGGACCAAGAGAAAGTATCTCTCTTAATCTTAAGGTGAAGCACCTTTCAGCCAGCTGAAGGAAGGTCGCGTTAGCGCGCCGGAGTGCGGAGGTTGTTCCCATCATTGAAGTCAGGGTGTGGGACTGAGCCTTCCGAATGAGAAAGAAGAAAAGTGCTTAGTTTCGTTGAAAAACGACCAAT